GAGCAGAAAGACAACAAATCTTTCAGGAGTAAACAGCACGGATACACGATAGCGATGATTGGATTCCAACTGTTTTTAATGACACCATTTGGTATCGACGTGAGTGTGGCTTTAATGTATTATTATTAACACCATTATCAGTTCCCTGCTATAATAATAGTGTAGTCAGTAACTATTGTGTCATCATTTTGCACTCATAATACTTTTGTACCTTTCATTATGGTACCCGAGTCTCTATTTTGCAACCATTATTTTACTTAACCTTGATTACAAGTATCTTGTGACTTTATCAGTTGAAAGGATGGACAATAGATGTATCTTACTTGTTCCCACTTAGTAACAAATAATTCAATTTTGTTCGCCAGTATTACTTATGAGCCTATTGAGGCTATGCAGCCAGATTTAGTTAACCTTGATAGTTTAATGCTGCTCAGGATGGTATATATAGCACGATCTCCAGCATAGTCATTCTCCTGCTGAGTAAACATATTAATATGATGGTTTTGTAGACTTGAGATTTAAAACCTCTCGCATAACATATGAAATGAACTAAGAACTGAGGTACTGATAATCGCAATCAGCTGATCACATTTGACAGCTGCTATTTAAAGACACAGGTAACCATTAGAATCTTAGAGTTACGAGCTAATGAAATAAGTACTTATGAGGTTATGATATGAACCAGAACAGTTTAATCTTACGACGCTTGATATGACTCATAGATAATTTATGAAACCTGAGGTAAAGGTACTCTAGATTCATGCATATATCTTATATCCCTCACCAGATTTAACTAACTATAGATTTAACTCAATGTAGATTTAACTCAATGTCAGTGATGCACGCCGGTTCATTTTTCGCCAACCGGCGGCGGCGTGCCCAAAATGGCCCGGCGTGGCGGCGTTCGGCGGCGTGGAACATAATTTTGTCAAAATTTAGGTTTGAATTTCCAGGCCCACAAAAATTGTGGCGTACGTGCGTGCATGAATTTGAAATAATGATGTAATAAGTGTGGTTTTTACAATTATATTTGATGGTTTTTACAATTATATTTAAGAAAAATCAAACTCTTAACATTGTCGTTGGACAATTACAATTTGGATCTCTTAGAGTTCAAAATCAACCCCGACTGGCTCCATACTCTTTCTATTCCCTTTCACGCCACGCCGACTTGAGAGGTATCGGCGTGGCGGCGTGTGAAAATGTGCCGGCGCGGCGGCGTCCGGCGGCGGCGTGCATCACTGCTCAATGTAGATTTAACTCACTGTAGATTTAACTCACTGTAGATTTAACTCACTGTAGATTTAACTAACTCTAAATTTAACTCAATGTAGATTTAACTCAATGTAGATTTAACTCAATATAGATTTAACTCAATGTAGATTTAACTCAATGTAGATTTAACTCACTGTAGATTTAACTCAATGTAGATTTAACTCACTGTAGATTTAACTCACTGTATATTTAACTAAATCTAAATTTAACTCAATGTAGATTTAACTCACTGTAGATTTAACTCAATGTAGATTTAACTCACTGTAGATTTAACTCACTGTAGATTTAACTAAATCTAAATTTAACTCAATGTAGATTTAACTCACTGTAGATTTAACTCACTGTAGATTTAACTAACTCTAGATTTAACTCAATGTAGATTTAACTCACTGTAGATTTAACTCACTGTAGATTTAACTAACTCTAAATTTAACTCAATGTAGATTTAACTCACTGTAGATTTAACTCACTGTAGATTTAACTCTCTGTAGATTTACCTCACTGTAGATTTAACTAACTCTAGATTTAACTAACTGTAGATTTAACTCAATGTAGATTTAACTCAATGTAGATTTAACTCACTGTAGATTTAACTCACTGTAGAGTGTAGATTTAACTACAAGTATCTTGATTACAAGTATCTTGATTACAAGTATCTTGATTACAAGTATCTTGATTACAAGAATATTGATTACAAGAATATTGATTACAAGTATCTTGATTACAAGAATATTGATTACAGGTATCTTGGGACGGGTTGACACGTGTGTACATAACAGCAGATCCCCGGTGGATGGGCCAGCTGGAGGGGATGTGCGGGAACTTTAATCTGGATCCCTCAGATGATATGAAAACGTACCAGGGAGAGGTTACAGCTTCGCAAATCATCTTCGGAAACAGGTTAATACTATTTAAAGGTTCAGCTCAATATGCTGATAATGATATATCGTCATTTCAGATCGCCAGACTGGAATGAATTTTATCTGTACTTATATTGCACAAGAACTTATAGTTAAATTAACTGATCGAGAAAGTGCGAACGATAAAAAGCTGGCGAGCTCCACGAACAAAGTTCCACAACGATTAAGCAAAGTATCTAAACGTTATCACCTGAGTAATGTCACGAAAATTCGAGGATTGTCCCTAGTTCTGTGACACAACAAGACAAATGAACCCCACTATTTGCCATGTTTACAAATAACCTCGTCCAGCTGGAAGATGTCGGAGCAGTGTCCGGAGGTAACCACTGATAACGTGGTTCACACGTGTCAAGTCCATCCTCTCAGAGCCCCTTTCGCTAGCACTCAGTGTGATATCCTCAAGAGTGATATCTTCAAGGTGATTTATAGTTCTACTTGCTAGCTATCATTGATTTATTTATGTCAAGGTAAACTTTTTACATTGCTTATTCAATAAACCAGTTTCTATTTAGACTCTATTCAGGGTTCAGGACTGATGTATTATTTATTCTCTCGAGGTGATTGCTTTATTATTTAATAAATATTTATCCAACAGGAGTGTCACAGTGTTGTAGATGTCGAACGTTACTATGACAACTGTTACTATGACGTTTGTGGGTGCGACCTTGGAGGCGACTGTACATGCCTTTGTGACGTAAGTCATATTTACAATTACAAAGAATAGAAAACATTTCGTGATCAAATTGTTGGTTTATTATGTTTTTTAATAGTTTTATTAAGCGGATCTAAGCGGAGCTTTGATCATTGTACGTGGTAAATTCTGGTCAAAACAATAGTAAAATCAAATTCAATAAAATGCAAACAATTGTTTATTATGTGTATTATCAATTATGTGTACAGGCAATAGCGACATTTGCGAAGGAGTGTAGCGACAATGGAGTCAACATTGATTGGAGATCTACAACTAAAGAGTGTGGTAAGCTACTTAGTTAACTCTGACAGTTTTTATTTCTACTAACAGTGTTTATTTCTTGGACGGAATAACAAACGTTCTTAACCACTTTTTGAAAAAAAAACGATAAAAAACGATTTCATTTTATGTTTGTTTGGGGACCGGTTTTTGGTTCACCGGCCAATGTTTACAAAATCATATGATACATAACAATATAATTGTATTTAATATACGTGAATATTAAAATAGAAATGAAATCTTAAATTTCTATTTATTCCCTGAAATTGTTACTAAGTTCAAAATAAATTTATATGATGAAGTCTACTATAAGAATATATATGAAAGTCAGACCTGCTTCGCGAAAACTAACAGTTCTGTGTGCTAACAGATCCTGACTGATACTAATTTACACTAACTAACTAAGTAACTAATACTGTTAACTATCTACAAACCAACTAGCTAGCGTGTGTGCTCGTAGAGCAGCTTAAATAATAAAATATGAGCCACAGTTCATGCTGCCTAAATCTCCTCACAAAATACTGCATCGTAAAAAAAACTCGTTAAAAAACGGTTTACAGAATACAACGGCCACTACTTACACTAAATTAAAATACATACTATGTAAAAACTACACTGTATCACCACGTAGATAACGAAAGTGAACATAACATATTAAAGTTCATAAATTCTGATAACAAGTCAGTGTACTTGTAGATAAGGCTCTAGCTCTCACTAACACAATTAACTTTATTGTCTCTGATAAAATAACGCTTGCTATTGTCCTGCTTTATTAGTTCTTTCATCTGTTTGACAAGTCCACTGTGTAGTATTCTCTGCTCCCTTGTCCTATCCGGTGCAAGATAAACTGACTTAAAATCATCATTTGTTTTAAGTTTGTGTGCATTCCTTAGTATAATGTCCACATCGCTAGAGCTTTGTAACTGAACTTTGACTGGTCGCGTTTTCTCAGGAACTTTCTTCCCAATCCTGCATATCTCATCCGTGTCAGGAAAATGACAGCCGGCCTCAGCAAAAACTGACTTGAAAGAGTCCGGGAGAGGGTCCATATCTAATACGTCCTCCCACTCCCCTTCTTCCGTCTCCTTCAAACCGTAGATAATCAAGTTTCTCGATCTTTCTTCTTCTTTATTCACTGATCGCACGGCTTCTTTCGCAGTTTTTGTTGTCAGCTGATTGTTTTGGACGCTGTTCTTCTTGACGACATCTGCCCAACTTTTCATTTCATTCTTTACAGTTTTCTGCACCGATTCGATCTGATTCTGCTGTCTGTTTATCAGCTGCTTTTGCATGTCTATCTGTTCTGTTTTCATCTGATCTATCTTGCTGGCTGCAGACCTGCATAGCTTCATATTGCTGTCCATTAAATTTACTATGCTGCTAAGGAAATTTACAAGCGGACCCTTAAGCAGTTTTTGTAGAACACCCTGGTTGATATCAGAGAAGGACGAGACATTCACGGCTTTCATGAGCTTTCCAATCTCCGATTGCATATCCTTTTCCACTGTGTGTAGTAAGTCCACAGAGAAATTCATCAGGTTAGCGTGGTGTGTAACACTTGCAGATAACGACTGCTGATAACAAGCTAAAAACGATACAAATGCTAAGTGGTTTACTGCGAACTTATAAAATAAAAAATCGTTTTTTATCGGTTTCTTGAACCTTTGGTAAATTATCAATTTTATCACAATTTTAATTTACAAATTCCACCTTTCCCGCCTCCCATCCCAAATAAAACTCTGATTTGGGGTGCCCCTATAAAACATTTTTATCGTTTCGAACGGAAAAAAGACATCAGACCCACAAACTTAGTTCACGGACTCACAAATGGTGGCATGTCAGACCATAGTTGGAAGTGGTATACTTGGTACTGTTTTACTAATACGTTCGATTATTATTTGAAGGAAGCTTAATACGGTGTATCCAAAATCGTGCTAAAACCAGGTTTGTTAGGTTTCTAAAACTACATTATCTCAGAGCTGTGCTGTAAACCACCCTTTGTGTATGATCCCTGTGGTCCAGTGTGTCCTGACAACACGTGTGCTGACAGCACGTGCATGTTGCCTAGCGACAGATGCGTGGAACAGTGTCGGTGTCCTGACCACCTCTTCCTCAACGGAGACAAATGCGAGGAAAGCTGTGAAAAGGAACACACAAGTTAGTTCAAACTTGGAAACTTCTAGTTACTGCCTCCTGTTCCATTCTCTATAAATAATAAAAAGGGGGCATAAGCACACCAGATATTCACTTAACAATCCTTAAAACTTTCAACGAATAAAATATAAACTAACCACCCAAATTAAATTAATTAGTCTGAGTAATTGCTGAGAATTGAGATCTAATAAATATCAAAGAAAATGAATTTTTTGTCCATTTAAGATTCTGATAACAGTATAATTTTAACCCTTCTTTTCTCCCAGCCACGATGCCATCCACCACTAGTTCCTTCATCACCTCTATCACACGGACACCTGTAACTCTAACACCATCTATTACACCAACTAGTGAGTTTTAGTCGATCGACAAATGATTTAAGATAATTTGAAATAGAAGAGGGTTATTTCTGCGGTAACTTTGTATTTGCGCTAATGCCAAATACATTGCATATGAATATGATTATGTGGCTAAAGCTTTAATAAAAGTCAAATCGTTTTTAGAAACATTTCTAATCAAAATGGACCAAACTTCGAACACGGTGAAAGAAAGGTGCTGGCCAAACTTTAAATAAAAACAAGTCCAGAGTGAGATGCATGTAATAAAACGTGACATTTAGATTTTGAGGGGGCCGTTTTTTTAAATCAGCGCTTATGAATATGTGTAATTGTATTAATCGCGCGAGCGATTTCAATCGCGCGTCCTGAAAATCGAGTCTAAAAATCTGTCTTCTCCAACTGTTTTCGAGCAATCACCCTGAAACTTTTAAAATATGTTTTAAGAACCATTTAAAAGAAATTGTCAGGCCAAAATTATGAAATAGGCCTTAGAAAGTATTTTATTCGATTTTGAAAAACTTGGACCTCGTTTTTTGACGATTTTTCCAGGTAAGCGCTGACCTTTGACCGGCGATAACTAGTAACTCCGATTAAGAACAATATTTTTCTATAGAATCAAAAACAGCTGATAGATATCACTCCTTTCTATCAGAAGCAACTATAAAGTCAATTTCGAGAGAATTTTGATGAAGACCCCCGGCCCCTTTAAGTCACAATTTAGTCTTACACTGTTGCTAAGATAGCTGCTACTATGACAACTGGTTACTATGCAGTGATTGTCTTTAATGCTCACAGCAAATCAAAATCGTTGCGAGACAGCAAAGCTAATAAGTGCTCATGGCTGAAGTTATTAGAACTGATATTATCGTCGTGAATTATTAACTTTAAATACGCTGACTGCTTGCAAAGACAGTTATATTAAAGTATAACTGATAATAAGTGTTTTATTTTAAAACTAATAACAACACTACAAATCTATAGCATTTATTGAGAATTATGTAATGTAACGTGATGGAAATATTTTAAACGGGCATATCCTGTCCAAACCCAGGATGCACTACATAAAGAATTCGTTGTAACTTTGTTTGATAAGCATTAATATAACCATTATTAACATCAACTACTTCTCTCCAGAAAATATTAAATTTCAAAATATTCAGGTATCGTCTCGACGACAACCCCTACGACGACTACGCCGGTTGCCACGACGACCACGCCGCACGTGACAACGCCAGATCACCATGAGCACTGTTCGTGCCCACACGGTCAGTGTTTAGATATTGCACAACAACAACAATGTTAGCGCTTGCTATGTTCATATTAAAGTTATGTAGTAAAGTTTAATAACTAAAATAAACTGATATTAAACTTAACTGAAAGATGACGGGACTCCAGAATATCAGTAAATATGTATTCAGTGCTATAATTATAAATGAATCGTGGTATCTCAAAATTTAATATACGTCACTTTCGAGATTTGAGATATGATTACTTCAAACATGACAAGAAGATTAGCGAATTTTATGGAACGCAGTCGATTGTCGCAAAATTCTGCTATACAATTTTTTCAAACTACGACAAACAATATATGCGAGTTTGGTTGAATTTAAAAGTGTCAAATTTGAGATATCCGTCGAAACACAAGAAAATATTTTATAATCCATGGCGCGCTACTATACTATTACTATAATAATCTGTGCAAGGTTGGACAAATAGAATGCTTATGTGCAAAATTTGAATTACATCACTGCAAAGACAAGAAAATATTTGTAAATCAAATTTGCACATATTGTCAGTACCCGTCTTATCTGGAAATTTTAAAGAAAATCATATCTAATGGTGTTGACAATGGATTGGAGACAAATATATGGCTACAAACACTCAAAAGCTTAAATTACCGTACAAAGAAGAACGAAGCAATAATAAATTAGTTCATTTTCCTATGACTGACTATTAGAATGCAGGGCAATATGTAAAACCAATCTTGCATTATTCATGCATTATTCATGTCTCATAATGATTTATTTATAATGCTCCCTGTCTCTCCGGAGTGTTCTTTTGTTGGTTTCAACATATTTATTGTCAGCCGAAATATTGATAATAAGCGCTACAATAGCAGAGAAATCACAGCAATGTTTGAGTACGGCTTTATAAAGCCCGGTAATTCTTTCTTTTTCATTGCTATATAGTAGTAATATAGTGTTGAAAGTATTGAAATTGATAAAACTACCTACACTAGAATCTGGAAATAATCATCTGCGTCCGTTCACTCCGTAGCATACCATGGATTTAAAAATGTTTTCTTACATTTCAACAACAACAACAATCGTATAGTAGGATCTGGGAGAAATTTTGTAACCTTATATCATGGGAGTATTTCGCAACCTGCATCGAAAAGTACATTGATTGATGTCTTTTTGTAACAAAATTAAACATCCTTGGCAAGTGATTTAGTGGGACCAATTTTAAACACAAAATAAAGGAGGTAAGGCGTATAAGTCTTAAAAAGGTAATACTCTGCACTGCACGCACCAGACAAACAAATCCAGCGTTTATGATGTAAAACTGCTGAACAGATTATCTCCTTGCATTTTCAAGATCACGCGTTGTGGTTGAGCTGAATGGCCTGGAGGTTATAAACTCCGTACGTTACCGGCTATTTGTCACATACTACTTATGAGTAATATCTTACAAACTCCCAACCGTTTAGCGTACGTTACCGGCTATTTGTCACTACTTATGAGTAATTATATCTTACAAACTCCCAACCGTTTAGCTTATGAAGCCTTAAGGTTTACATAAGCATAAATTAAAATCGCTAGGCTTTACCTGGTATAAACCGAAACAATTGATCCCAATTTTCGACTCTAACAGTAACCCTAAAAAGGATAATCACACTATGACGGTGGCTAATTTGAGGTATTTGAAACCCCTACTGTACGTACTGATCTTAACAAATGCTGTGCTGCGGTACAGTGTACGCGATCTTAACAAATGCTGTCCTGCGGTACAGTGTACGCGATCTTAACAAATGCAAATTCTGTGCTGCGGTACAGTGTACGCAATCTTAACAAATGCTGTGCTGCGGTACAGTGTACGCGATTTTAACAAATGCAAATTCTGTGCTGCGGTACAGTGTACGCAATCTTAACAAATGCTGTGCTGCGGTACAGTGTAGGTCGACTTATCTTCAATCTTTATGAAACAAATGCACCTTATATTTTAATAGCTTGCGACCGTGTGATACCTCGCACTTATTATAAAAGCTTTATATTTTAAAAGTTATTTTATGAAAGTTGCACAATGCACATTATTTTCCATACAGCGATATCATGCAAGTTGCACATATTTGGCTAAATCTCATCGCTGCTTCATTTTAATGACAAATTCAAACCCGTTCTGTTTTGTCAGATAGTAGTTAGATAGTTTTGTAAATAATATTATTAAACTTCAGTTTCTTTTGATGATAGTTAGTGAGGAAGTGAAAGTCTCCACTCAGTGTTTAGTCAAATTTGACAAAGGCATGTTGCCGAAACGTCGACAACTAATTTTTTTTGAAACACTGAGTGGATAGTGGATACTCTCACTTCGTCACCAACTATCATCAAAATATATGATCGACCCACTCATAAGAGCGAAAAACGATTACCAAACTTCAATTTCATTTCAATCAATTTGCAACTCAAATATCAGGAGAGAGAATCGTGGATCTGCCGATCAAGCACTCTACCTACTACACTAACGCAATAGAGGATCACAGTAGTGAGAATTACCTATACATTGGTAAAACAGAAGGCTTCAATGATAGGTTCCGTTCTCTTATTCGGTTCGATCTGGAGAATGTTCCGCTAGAGACTGTAAACTCCATTTGCATCCAGGTCCCCTTTCACTTTCTTAATTTTTCCAATACTCAAATTCAGCTAGGATATTAACGCACCAAAGTAAGCCTTATTTCATTTGCCTCAAAGCGTAAAACAAAGATTGTGCTAGCAATAAAAATAAAAACTAACTATTCTAATCGATAACCAGTTAACTAAAATACAAATTCGTCAGGTGCCAATAGTAGGGACCAAAAGGTCTGAGATAGCGGACTACAGAGACGAACAGATGATCGGGAGAGTGGTCAGTGCGTTCATCGTTCGGAGAGAGTGGGATCCCACTAATGTTAACGAGGACAACCCCTGGGCTAAGCCTATGGGAGATGATCTTAAACTGGACAGGTTATCCATTTTACTAACATCTATATTCTATACACCTACTTTTACACGATACACCTACTTTTACACGCAAACCGTGAGAGTTATACCATTGGTGATCGGAACTTCTTTGGTTTGGTTTAATCATGAATGACGTTATAACCTTTTAACCAGTATGATTAATAATAATATGTCGTCTTTGGACACGAAGGAAAGCACTCGATTTGAAGCTTGAATTCTTCGTTAAACTATATCATGGAGCCTGCAAACTATTTGAGATAACCATTCTTGCAAGCAGAATTCGTATTATCTCCGAAATTTAAATGATAAACCCGATAAGAAAATTCATTAATCGATCTAATTAACGGCCAGGTAGCGCCGTTGGTTAGAACGTCATCTTTGCAAATCGTGAGTTTGCGAGTTCGAAACCCACTGTCTGCCTAGGGTCGTGGGGTGAGCGTCGTTGACGTTTAGCTAAGGATCCTGAGTGGTCTATGCAGCCCCCCGGTCTACTCAGCCGAATACTCGAGAAATCGGGTGTGAGGGTTAAATGAGGAGCTGCACATTGCAGCAAAGTCTCGGGCGAAGAAGGTATGGTACACACTACCTTAACCGTCAATGGCCAAATAAATCCTTCAGCTTCCTGTAATTGGCTGGTTGCACTTGTGTAACAATGTGGCTGTTGGAATACACCGAAGTAAAATAAGTGTCTTGATTATTAAAAATTTAAAAAAACGCTGCTGTATCCAATAACTGAAAGTGTAAATGGCAAAAATCCTTGTTAAAGTAACGACAATAAACACTATGAGATAGTGTTAATTAAAACGTATCATCTTACCGAATACAACGAGTACTTACTTAAAATATTCTAATATTATTTAATTCATTCGTAGGTATCCCAGTCAAAAAGGAAAGTTTTCTTACACACGACAGGATTATCTTGCCTCGCCAATTATCAAAACAATCTCGATGAAAGGAGGTAAAATAATAAATTTACTTAATATAACTGACATTTTTAATTTCATTAATCTATCTAATCTAACTGAATTCACCTGTTGATTGTTGAACGATGTTCCAACAGAGATCAGAAAGTTATTAAGACATGAGCATATCTTAGACTGAAATTTAATTTTCAGATAACCTCCACCTTATGAAATATGGACTGATGCTCAAAGCTATGAACGAAAATGCTCCTGGACATCTTTTGAAAATTGCTAAAAAAGAACGAGGAAAACTGGAATTAAAAGCTGAATATTGCACTAGTGGATCATCAACAACATCAACATCAACCACAACAACACCTTCATATACCCCATCTCACTCATCAAGCACGTCATCGTCATCCACAACGACTCCCTCCAGTTCTTTTTCGACAACTTCATCAACAACAACCTCGCCATCAAGCTCTTCTAGCACAACATCATCCTCAACAACAACACCATCAAGCTCTTCCAGCACAACAACACCTTCCAGTTCATCAAGCACAACATCATCCTCAACAACAACACCATCAAGCTCTTTTAGCACAACATCATCCTCAACAACAACACCATCAAGCTCTTCCAGCACAACAACACCTTCCATTTCATCAAGCACAACATCATCCTCAACAACAACAGCCTCTAGCTCTTCTAGCACAACAAGACCTTCCAGTTCATCAAGCACAACATCATCCTCAACAACAACACCATCAAGTTCATCAAGCACAACATCATCCTCAACAACAACACCATCAAGCTCATCCAGTGCAACAACACCTTCCAGTTCATCAAGCACAACATCATCCTCAACAACAACAGCCTCTAGCTCTTCTAGCACATTGACCAGCACAACATCTTCATCCACTTCAACTACTACACCCTCAAGTTCATCTTCAACTACCATAACATCCACACCAAATATCACACCAACATCTACACAATCAACATCTACTTCAAGCACCACTCCTTCATCAAGTAGCACTTCAACATCAAGTACTCAAACACCAACCCCTACACAATCAACATCTACTTCAACCACCACTCCATCATCTTCAACATCTACTTCAACCACCACTCCTTCTTCCAGCACCACTCCATCATCTAGTAGCAGTTCAACATCTACGTCAACCAGCACTCCATCATCCAGTAGCACTTCGACATCAAGTACTCAAACACCAACCCCTACACAATCAACATCTACTTCAACCAGCACTCCATCATCTTCAACATCTACTTCAACCACCACTCCCTCTTCTAGCACCACTCCATCATCCAGTAGCACTTCAACATCAACTTCCACCAGCACTCCATCATCCAGTAGCACTTCAACATCAAGTACTCAAACACCAACCCCTACACAATCAACATCTACTTCAACCAGTACTCCATCATCTTCAACATCTACTTCAAGCACCACTCCTTCATCCAGTAGTACTTCGATATCAAGTACTCAAACACCAACCCCTACACAATCGACATCTACTTCAACCAGCACTCCATCATCTTCAACATCTACTTCAACCACCACTCCTTCTTCCACCAGCACTCAATCATCTAGTAGCACTTCAACATCTACTACAACCAGCACTCCATCATCCAGTAGTACTTCGACATCAAGTACTCAAACACCAACCCCTACACAATCAACATATACTTCCACCACCACTCCATCAAGCTCATCCAGTACAACAACACCTTCCAGTTCATCAAGCCCAACATCATCCTCAACAACAACAGCCTCTAGCTCTTCTAGCACAGTGACCAGCACAACATCTTCATCCACTTCAACTTCTACACCCTCAAGTTCATCTTCAACTACCATAACATCCACACCAAATATCACACCAACATCTACACAATCAACATCTACTTCAAGCACCACTCCTTCATCAAGTAGCACTTCAACATCAAGTACTCAAACACCAACCCCTACACAATCAACATCTACTTCAACCAGCACTCCATCATCTTCAACATCTACTTCAACCACCACTCTTTCTTCCAGCACCACTCCATCATCTAGTAGCAGTTCAACATCTACTACAACCAGCACTCCATCATCCAGTAGCACTTCGACATCAAGTACTCAAACACCAACCCCTACACAATCAACATCTACTTCAACCACCACTCCATCATCTTCAACATCTACTTCAACCACCACTTCCTCTTCTAGCACCACTCCATCATCTAGTAGCACTTCAACATCAACTTCCACTAGCACTCCATCATCCAGTAGCACTTCAACATCAAGTTCTCAAACACCAACCCCTACACAATCAACATCTACTTCAACCAGTACTCCATCATCTTCAACATCTACTTCAACCAGCACACCATCATCCAGTAGCACTTCGACATCAAGTACTCAAACACCAACCCCTACACAATCAACATCTACTTCAACCACCACTCCATCATCTTCAACATCTACTTCAACCACCACTCCTTCTTCCACCAGCACTCCATCATCTAGTAGCACTTCAACATTTACTACAACCAGCACTCCATCATCCAGTAGTACTTCGACATCAAGTACTCAAACACCAACCCCTACACAATCAACATATACTTCCACCACCACTCCATCAAGCTCATCCAGTACAACAACACCTTCCAGTTCATCAAGCACAACATCATCCTCAACAACAACAGCCTCTAGCTCTTCTAGCACAGTGACCAGCACAACATCTTCATCCACTTCAACTACTACACCCTCAAGTTCATCTTCAACTGCCATAACATCCACACCAAATATCACACCAACATCTACACAATTAACATCTACTTCAAGCACCACTCCTTCATCCAGTAGCACTTCAACATCAAGTACTCAAACACCAACCCCTACACAATCAACATCTACTTCAACCAGCACTCCATCACCTTCAACATCTACTTCTACCACCACTCCTTCTTCTAGCACCACTCCATCATCTAGTAGCACTTCAATATCAAGTACTCAAACACCAACCCCTACACAATCAACATCTACTTCAACCAGTACTCCATCATCTTCAACATCTACTTCAACCAGCACTCCATCATCCAGTAGCACTTCAACATCAAGTACTCAAACACCAACCCCTACACAATCAACATCTACTTCAACCAGTACTCCATCATCTTCAACATCTACTTCAACCAGCACTCCATCATCCAGTAGCACTTCGACATCAAGTACTCAAACACCAACCCCTACACAATCAACATCTACTTCAACCACAACTCCATCATCTTCAACATCTACTTCAACCACCACTCCTTCTTCCACCAGCACTCCATCATCTAGTAGCACTTCAACATCTACTACAACCAGCACTCCATCATCCAGTAGTACTTCGACATCAAGTACTCAAACACCAACCCCTACACAATCAACATATACTTCCACCACCACTCCATCAAGCTCATCCAGTACAACAACACCTTCCAGTTCATCAAGCACAACATCATCCTCAACAACAACAACCTCTAGCTCTTCTAGCACAGTGACCAGCACAACATCTTCATCCACTTCAACTACTACACCCTCAAGTTCATCTTCAACTACCATAACATCCACACCAAATATCACACCAACATCTACACAATCAACATCCACTTCAAGCACCACTGCTTCATCCAGTAGCACTTCAACATCAAGTACTCAAACACCAACCCCTACACAATCAACATCTACTTCAACCAGCACTCCATCATCTTCAACATCTACTTCAACCACCACTCCTTCTTCCAGCACCACTCCATCATCTAGTAGCAGTTCAACATCTACGTCAACCAGCACTCCATCATCCAGTAGTACTTCGACATCAAGTACTCAAACACCAACCCCTACACAATCAACATTTACTTCAACCATCACTTCAACATCTACTTCAACCAGCACTCCTTCTTCCAGCACCACTCCATCATCTAGTAGCAGTTCAACATCTACGTCAACCAGCACTCCATCATCCAGTAGTACTTCGACATCAAGTCCTCGAACACCAACCCCTACACAATCAACATCTACTTCAACCACCACTCCTTCTTCCACCACCACTCCATCATGTAGTAGCACTGCAACGTCTACTTCAACAAGCACTCCATCATCCAGTAGTACTTCAACATCAAGTACTCAAACACCAACCCCTACACAATCAACATCTACTTCAACCAGTACTCCATCATCTTCAACATCTACTTCAACCAGCACTCCATCATCTAGTAGTACTTCAACATCAAGTACTCAAACACCAACCCCTACAGAATCAACATTTACTTCAACAAGTACTCCATCATCTTCAACATCTACTTCAACCAGTACTCCATCATCTAGTAGTACTTCAACATCAAGTACTCAAACACCAACCCCTACACAATCAACATCTACTTCAACAAGTACTCCATCATCTTCAACATCTACTTCAACCACCACTCCTTCTTCCACCAGCACTCCATCATCTAGTAGCACTTCAACATCTACTACAACCAGCACTCCATCATCCAGTAGTACTTCGACATCAAGTACTCAAACACCAACCCCTACACAATCAACATCTACTTCCACCACCACTCCATCAAGCTCATCCAGTACAACAACACCTTCCAGTTCATCAAGCACAACATCATCCTCAACAACAACAGCCTCTAGCTCTTCTAGCACAGTGACCAGCACAACATCTTCATCCACTTCAACTACTACACCCTCAAGCTCATCTTCAACTACCATAACATCCACACCAAATATCACACCAACATCTACACAATCAACATCCACTTCAAGCACCACTCCTTCATCCAGTAGCACTTCAACATCAAGTACTCAAACACCAACCCCTACACAATCAACATCTACTTCAACCAGCACTCCATCATCTTCAACATCTACTTCAACCACCACTCCTTCTTCCAGCACCACTCCATCATCTAGTAGCAGTTCAACATCTACTTCAACCAGCACTCCATCATCCAGTAGCACATCAACATCAAGTACTCAAACACCAACCCCTACACAATCAACATCTACTTCAACCACCACTACTTCTTCAACCAGCACTCCATCATCTTCAACATCTACTTCAACCACCACTCCTTCTTCCAGCACCAATCCATCATCTAGTAGCACTTCAACATCTACTTCAACCAGCACTACATCATCCAGTAGTACTTCAACATCAAATACTCAAACACCAACCCCTACACAATCAACATCTACTTCAACAAGTACTCCATCATCTTCAACATCTACTTCAACCACCACTCCTTCTTCCACCAGCACTCCATCATCTAGTAGCACTTCAACATCTACTACAACCAGCACTCCATCATCCAGTAGTACTTCGACATCAAGTACTCAAACACCAACCCCTACACAATCAACATCTACTTCCACCACCACTACATCAAGCTCATCCAGTACAACAACACCTTACAGTTCATCAAGCACAACATCATCCTCAACAACAACAGCCTCTAGCTCTTCTAGCACAGTGACCAGCACAACATCTTCATCCACTTCAACTACTACACCCTCAAGCTCATCTTCAACTACCATAACATCCACACCAAATATCACACCAACATCTACACAATCAACATCCACTTCAAGCACCACTCCTTCATCCAGTAGCACTTCAACATCAAGTACTCAAACACCAACCCCTACACAATCAACATCTTCTTCCACCAGCACTCCATCATCTAGTAGCACTTCAACATCTACTTCCACCAGCACTCCATCATCCAGTAGCACTTCAACATCAAGTACTCAAACACCAACCCCTACACAATCAACATCTACTTCAACCAGCACTCCATCATCCAGTAGCACTTCAACATCAAGTACTCAAACACCAACCCCTACACAATCAACATCTACTTCAACCAGTACTCCATCATCTTCAACATCTACTTCAACCAGCACTCCATCATCTAGTAGCACTTCAACATCAAGTACTCAAACACCAACCCCTACACAATCAACATCTACTTCAACCACCACTTCTTCTTCAACCACCTCTCCATCATCTAGTACACAATCAACATCTACTTCAACCAGCACTCCATCATCCAGTAGCACTTCAACATCTACTTCAACCACCACTCCTTCTTCCAGCACCACTCCATCATCTAGTAGCACTTCAACATCAACTTCCACCAGCACTCCATCATCCAGTAGCACTTCAACATCAAGTACTCAAACACCAACCCCTACACAATCAACATCTACTTCAACCAGTACTCCATCATCTTCAACATCTACTTCAACCAGCACTCCATCATCTAGTAGCACTTCAACATCAAGTACTCAAACACCAACCCCTACACAATCAACATCTACTTCAACCAGTACTCCATCATCTTCAACATCTACTTCAACCAGCACTCCATCATCTAGTAGCACTTCAACATCAAGTACTCAAACACCAACCCCTACACAATCAACATCTACTTCAACCACCACTCCTTCTTCAACCACCTCTCCATCATCTAGTAGCACTTCAACATCTACTTCAACCAGCACTCCATCATCCAGTAGCACTTCAACATCTACTTCAACCAGCACTCCATCATCCAGTAGCACTTCAACATCAAGTACTCAAACACCAACCCCTACACAATCAACATTTACTTCAACCAGCACTTCAACATCTTCTTCAACCAGCACTCCATCATCCAGTAGCACTTCGACATCAAGTCCTCGAACACCAACCCCTACACCATTAACATCTACTTCAACAACCACTCCTTCTTCCACCAGCACTCCATCATCTTCAACATCTACATCAACCACCACTCCTTCTTCCATCACCACTCCATCATCTAGTAGCACTTCAATGTCTACTTCAACCAGCACTCCATCATCCAGTAGCACTTCAACATCAAGTACTCAAACACCCACCCCTACACAATCAATTCCTTCTTCCACCAGTACTACCTCTTCAACCAGTACCACTGTTACTTCAAGTACTTCTTCTGTAATCATCAACTCGGCCATCAAGTGCGAAGTTGGTGAGTATTAAATTGCAGAACATAGTTCCAAGGTATGAAGTTCATTCTTAAATACCTGGGTTTGTGTAATAGTAGTTCTTCTCAAAAACCCTAGAAAGGTCAGTAAAAGGTTTTTACTTACAGTAAGTAATAATTGCGGACAATAATCAGAAATCATCAACAATTTTTATCAGTTTTTGACTCTAATTCATTAGGAGAAGAAGAATATTGGTTACCATGGAGTAAAGATGCAACTTTATCCACCGGAAAATCTGATAACTTCAACTCGTATTTAAATCTTGGTTCAAGGCACGCTCCACCTGATAACTCTTTGGTTTTGGACTACGATTACTCATGGTAAGTGAAAGTAACTGACATGATGCTGACACGATTGTGTCATTAAATTTTAAAGCAATAATGATCATTAAACTAGAAACCAAATTTTCATTTTTTTCTATTTGTTATAACATTCCTCATGCCGTTAAGCTATCTAATTTATTTTTTTAGAAGTTTCTAATGCTCAAGAACATTGAAACTTGGTGAATATGAAGTTGAACTTATCCGATACAATGATAAAGAACCCAATTTCCACCAAGGTTGAGGGGTTTAGTCGCAGAACACGGAGTAAAGAACGTAAACGTGTATCGCCTGAGTATCTACCTTCGAGTCACAAAACAGTCGGAGGATATTTTTGCTGGTCGAGATTTTAATGTTTACGGCTTGAACAAGGTAAAAAGCGGAGAATGCAAAAATACTGGATCATCATTAATTTGAATCCCCACAATCTACGTCGATAAAGAGCACTTTAGAAGGGCGGTGCATTACGAAATCCACTGATTCAAGAGCCTGTTTTGGTAATTCTTCGGTACTTCCAAATCACCAGTTATTGATTGGTTATATGACAAATACGGTATTCTTATATTAAAATTAAATGCAGTGCCAGGATCAATTTTTTAGCTTTTAAATACGTCTTTAACATCGCTTCTAAATATACTTATTCCATTTTTGAGCAAAGTAAGTACATACAGTGTAGTATGGCAACATTTTTTGAATTCATATTTATTTTCTAAATACATTTTTAAAACGTGCTCACAAATACATTAGTTGTAATTTTTGCACAAAATATCTGCAAAAGGAAACGGCGCCGGGAATATCCGTCCAAGTACTGACATGAACTTTGCTTAATCTCCCAATTAATCAGCCAAGCGTGGCCGGCTATATCGAAATACGTCCGATCGGTTTTTAAGTGCAACGCTGTAAATGTAATATGCGAGAATTTGTAGGAAATACGTTTACGCACGCGTAAAAAACGCTACTTATCTAACAGTATAATTTACAAAAAAGATTAGTCTCTTTGAGGTACAACAATTCTGATAATGTGATTTCATGTCTGTACAGTAAAAACCCGATCAAGCCAATATTAAGCTGCCATTAAACTGGACCTTTACCCATTGTTGAAATTCGACATCTAGCGTGAAATGACGCTAATGATGCTATATGATGCTAGATGACGCTAGATAGCGACAATTAGCGACAATGTCGCCAATTGTTTGGCACCTTTTCAATATCATGATCTAGCGCTAGATAGCATCATCTAGTGTCATTTAGCGTGAGATGACGCTAGATGACGCTAGATGTCGAATTTCAACAATCGGTAAAGGTCCATTAAACTTTATGTGTTTATTGTGTTAAACATCATTCGGATTAAAATATTTGATCAAAGTTCTAGGTATTATACCTTAATGTAATCTGACCAGCTGACCCAATTGCAATGTCAATGAATAGTATATGTTCATATGTATGTATGTATGTGTATATATATATATGTTATTAATTTGCAGCCTCGTTCTTAACAACCTCACACTCCTCTACAAAATCCGTATTACCCGTCATTATTTCCACATCTAGAGGAGTTTCAGGAATCCTCCTCCCAGTAGGATCCGACAACAAGAATACAGATATCATGAAGATACAAGTCAGTCCAGCAAACACAGCGAGAGGCACACGCCGATCAGCAACAGCGTAGAGGAGTCCCACATAGGTACCAGTAAAGCTGCCCACCCTAGCAGAAGCAGAGCTGAGGGACATGATCATACCTCTGTGGGAAGTCGGAGCTAGTTCACTCGAGTAAAGGTACATCATTCCGAACGCTGCAGAGCATGTCAAGTTACCAATCAGACATGCCACGTACTCCAGCGTCCAATCTTTAGTGATCTGCAGATCAGGCATGGCCAGGAAGTTTGAGAAGAGACCTACTGCTAGGATACTCAACAGGGCCTTCTTCCTACCGAGCCAGTTAATGAGCGGAATTGTGCTGGAGTAGCCGGCGAACTTGCTCATAGAAGCTGCTAGGTGACCTGTATACAGATCAGATGAGATCTGTGTCCAGCCGAAGGAGAAGCCATAAAACAGGACAGCTACAATTAGCCAACCCACCATGCCCAAGAGGGTTTCTTTTCGTAAGGTTGGATAAATCTTGAAATCTTTGAGTTGCTCAAAGAAGGTTAGAACTCTCTTTTTGTAGGTCAAGTTCACATCAGCCATTGATGTTTCGTTGTTGCACAGCCGAGAGAAGGATTCCAGGATTCGTTTAGCCTCCTCCTCTCTTCCTCTTACCAGAGCAAATCTTGGAGAGATGGGATATATCAGGAGAGGGATGGTGAGAATGTAGTTAAGAATACCTACTGTTAAGAAAATGTAATTCCAGGTCGGTATCAGGTAACCAAACAATGTTATCAGCATGTAGCCCCCAGACCAAACCATAAAGATAAAACCGTTAGTAACGGTTCGAAGATGAGTTGGGGTCAACTCCAGAGACCAAACGTAGATACCAGTTAGATTAATGAACATTCCGACCCCCTGGAAGATCCTGACGACAAGCATGACCTCAAAAGACGGAGCCCATGTCCCAATAAGAGTGGCAGTAGCTCCGATCAGATTACCTACTATTGCTCCGTTCCTCCTACCAAACCTATCAAAAACAGCGGTACACACGAGAAGCCCCAGTGTGGCACCTATAAAGAAGAAGCTGGAAATGGTAGTGAACTTAGCCTCAGCATCGCAGTAGAGCCCCCAGTCTATTGAGAAACTCGTCCTCTCGCTAGTCCACTTGAAGTCTGTTCCTGCCTCCAGACTATTGTCGCACACCGTCTTGCGACTATAGAATCCTGTAATATCAGTAGTGTCCGCCAGCAAAGCCGCGCACTTGTTCGAGAGGCATTCCCACTGGGTGTAAGGAATGAATCCTGCAAAGATGGTTACGTAGATCTGCATAGGGGTCTGGGTTGCAGTTCCAATAGCGGTTAGGAAGACTAGGATCAGTTTTAGGTTCATACCGTTGTAGATCCTGTCCACTGCTTCGTCAATAGTGAGCGGTCCTTTCCCCAGTTTATTTTCTCGTTCTGGTTCTGGACCAGTTTTCTGTTTTCTACCATTTTCCTGTTTTTCGTCCATCAAATGTTTCTGTATGATTGCTTTTATTAACTTTTGAATTATTTATTTTGACTTGGAGGATGCCAAAAACTTTAATCAATCCCTTTATTTAATTTCGAAAAACGAAACAACATTATATTTATAATAAGCTTACAACAATCGTAAAAAATCATAATAAAAATAGTACGGTAGTCAGTATAACACAGTGACAAAACGACTAAAGTGCATATGAACACGGAAGGAAATGGCCTCGATCCAAAAAACCTTTTGATTTGTTTCTCCTCTAATCAAGAGGAGAAACAGTTTTATCAATATCAAAGAATTAGTTGATTACGATAAACAAATGAATACCTTTAATAAAATTACGACTAAATCAGCGATTTTCTGAATGGTGTGAAAGTGTTGATAAATGGGCTAATCATTTTTGAGGCATGGTTCACTGGTTCAGTTCATTAGAGCATTGTCATTAGCTGCGAAAAAGTTCACCAAAACAAAAGTATGTGATACTGTGATGATGGCAAATAACGGCAAATAATATCAAGACACGCGGTCTCGTGTTGTTATACCTGATAAGAACATTATGTCCTTTACTGGGCGGCGCTCAGTCTGTATATTTATTATGAACATAATAGCCAGGTAATATGTCCTCCGCCCTCGCGTCTCACGTCGCTGGCTCCCGTTAGCACCAGTATTACAAATTAAGACCTGCAAAATTATCGTATCCACTTTCAGCTGAACCATTGATAGATTAAAATGTAAATCATTTTATGGTTAATTTGTCTCACGTTGCGACCTCAACAAGGTCGCTTCATTCTAGACAACTTCTGGCAATGTCTGACAACACAGTGGTTAATCAATAATTAACAAGGAATTATCCCACGGTGCGGAGCCTGCCACCCACTAAGTGCACAAGATATGAGGTGATTGGGCTTGCAGGTGAACGAGATGAGCATATTGAAATTTTGCCGTACTGTGTTCATACCCGAAACACCCCCCTCCCAATCAACTAATAACCTAAATAAAAAGCTACTAGGCAAAGAATTGACCGATAACCACCCCACAGTAACCACAGTAACCACAGTAACCACAGTAACCACAGTAACCACAGTAACCACAGTAACCACAGTAACCACAGTAACCACAGTAACCACAGTAGCCACAGTAACCACAGTAACCACAGTAACCACAGTAACCACAGTAACCACAGTAACCACAGTAACCACAGTAACCACAGTAACCACCCCACAGGACTGGTTGGAGAGCACAGTGTCCAGTACGAACCCCTGGGGAACTAACCTGCCCACTGAGCAGGACTTCACGGACATGAGGAGTAGGTTGACAGTACGGTATGACAAGAGAGTTATCAACTCTAAATACCAGAGGATAGACATCTTGTCAGATCTGGATAATATCCTGCACAACTCCTCTTCTCATCACGGATACTTCATTGGTACTTTTATTAGCTTAGCTTCTGTATATTGTCTGATATATCTGTAATCTGATATTACTCGAATTCGTTCTTTTTGTCCAAATCACTGTTTTGGGTGAGAGCGGTGTCAATAGTTAATTGATATCCTAACTTTAACAATAGTCAATAGTTAATTTATGTCCTTAACTTTTGACGAAAGCCTTTATTTTTACTACCTTTTATTAAATAGCATTCATTAAAGAGCCATTCCCTTCAACTAGATGGACGGGAAGTGGAGGATGATTTGCCGTACAGTTTCTACAGTAAAGATAGCGCTATGTACTCAAATACTCCCAACGATGTTGACTCCGAAGAACATTTTGGTGGAGTTCAGATATGTTACGGTATGTTTGACAAGTTACCAGGTTACCCACATGCTAGGTTACCAGGTTACCCACGTGCTAGGTTACAAGGTTACCAGCTTACTAGGTAAATTAACAAAGCAAATATCCCGTTCTCAACATGTAAAATTCATAAAACCGATTCATTTTATCAGCAACAATGTATGCTGAAATTCTTTCCTCTAATTCTAAGAATCTTATATCACAGCGATCACAGAGAGTTCGAGGAAGTGCAGTGAAGGGTCTCTGGTGACAGTGCCAGTGCTTGAAGACACGTATCTGATAAGCCAGTCTTTTGACACTCTTCACAACACGGAACCTACTCTAAAAGTGGGGGTTACTGGAGATTCGAAGCACGGGAACCTTACTGGTCCTGTCAGATCTCTCATTCGCTTCGATTTCCAAACTGCCTTGAAGGTACCGTTGTGAGGATTTTAATTTTACGAATTATTAATTGACACTGAAAATCTTGAGTTGGTAATGTTTAAATGGAAAAGAATTTTATTTTTATTTCATTATTATTGATACAGGGTTACAGAAAACCAGAAGTAGTTGACAATGGTACCTTAGTCCTCTCCTTCCTGGGGAGTGAGCTGGGGATGGGAGATGAGGCGACTATGATGGGTAGATATCTGCGCAACAGGAACATTCAGCTTTTCCGTGTTGAAAGAAACTGGAAGGGGGATGACCCTTCGGCATATGTTAGTATCAGCTATTATTGTATTGGTTCTGATTCTTTTTCCATTTTATTTTTGTGATCCCCAATGTATGCAAAAATGTGCATACCTATAAGTATGAAGCTATAATTCTTATTGACTCTTTCAACTTCAGGGTGGTTGGGCAAATGAGCTAAGGGCAGGGAATCTTGATAACAAAATGACACAAATCGGAAATAATTTCTTTGTCACTGATGAAACGGAGCATGAACAACAATACGTTGAAATTTCCAAAGGAGACATTTCAGGGTAAAATATTGAAAATATGAATTTAAATTTCTTGTTCTTAAGGAAAAATAATATAACATTTAATTCCGATCGAATAATTCTAAATAACATTCATTTCAGTTAATTACTCAATTTCAGGTGGATCTCAGAAAATTATGGACTGCTGATAGGTTCAGAAGATGACCATTTGAAAGGAAGATCATCCGGAATTGTAGCTCTGTTCGGTGCATCTGAAACAAAGGACAAACACATGAGACCAGTTCTCCAAATATGTGTCAAAGAGAAAGAACCAATCACTACTACTACACCTTCTACCTCTTCAACTGTAACCTCAACAACACACATCATTACATCTTCAAAATCTTCAACATCTACTTCAACCAGCACTCCTTCATCCAGTAACACTTCAACATCAAGTACTCAAACACCAACACCCACACAATCAACATCAACTTCAACCACCACTCCTTCTTCGAACAGCACTCCATCATCCAGTAGCACTTCAACATCTACTTCAACCAGCACTCCTTCATCGAGTAGCACTTCAATATCAAGTTCCACCAGCACTCCATCATCTAGTAGCACTTCAACATCTACTTCAACCAGCACTCCTTCATCCAGTAGCACTTCGACATCAAGTACTCAAACACCAACCCCTACACAATCAACATCTACTTCAACCACCACTCCTTCTTCCAGCACCACTCCATCTTCCAGTAGCACTTTAACATCTACTTCCACCAGCACTCCATCATCCAGTAGCACTTCAACATCAAGTACTCAAACACCAACCCCTACACAATCAACATTTACTTCGACCAGTACTCCATCATCTTCAACATCTACTTCAACCAGCACTCCATCATCCAGTAGCACTTCAACATCAAGTACTCAAACACCAACACCTACACAATCAACATCAACTTCAACCATCACTCCTTCTTCCAGCACTACTCCATCTTCCAGTAGCACTTCAACATCTACTTCCACCAGCACTCCATCATCCAGTAGCACTTCAACATCAAGTACTCAAACACCAACCCCTACACAATCAACATTTACTTCGACCAGTACTCCATCATCTTCAACATCTACTTCCACCAGCACTCCATCATCCAGTAGCACTTCATCATCAAGTACTCAAACACCAACACCTACGCAATCAACATCAACTTCAACCAGCACTCCGTCGTCCAGTAGCACTTCAACATTTACTTCAACGAGCACTCCTTCATCAAGTAGCACTTCAATATCAACTTCAACCAGCACTCCTTCATCAAGTAGCACTTCAACATCAAGTTCCACCAGCACTCCATCATCAAGTAGCACTTCAACATCAACTTCCACCAGCAGTCCATCTTCTAGTAGCACTTCAACATCAACTTCAACTACCACCCCTTCTTCAAACAACACTCCATCATCTAGTAGCACTTCAACATCTACTTCAACCAGCACTCCATCATCTTCAACATCTACTTCAAACACCACTCCATCATCTTCAACATCTACTTCCACCACCACTCCTTCTTCCACCAGCACTTCAACATCTACTTCCACCAGCACTCCATCTTCTAGTAGCACTTCAACATCAACTTCAACCACCACTCCTTCTTCAAACAGCACTCCATCATCTAGTAGCACTTTAACATCTACTTCAACCAGCACTCCATCATCTTCAACATCTACTTCAAACACCACTCCATCATCTTCAACATCTACTTCCACCACCACTCCTTCTTCCACCAGCACTTCAACATCTACTTCCACCAGCACTCCGTCGTCCAGTAGCACTTCAACATCTACTTCAACCAGCACTCCATCATCTTCAACATCTACTTCAAACACCACTCCATCATCTTCAACATCTACTTCCACCACCACACCTTCTTCCACCAGCACTTCAACATCTACTTCCACCAGCACTCCGTCGTCCAGTAGCACTTCAACATTTACTTCCATCAGCACTCCGTCGTCCAGTAGCACTTCAACATCTACTTCAACCAGCACTCCATCATCTTCAACATCTACTTCAAACACCACTCCATCATCTTCAACATCAACTTCAACCACCACTCCTTCTTCAAACAGCACTCCATCATCTAGTAGCACTTCAACATCTACTTCAACCAGCACTCCATCATCTTCAACATCTACTTCAAACACCACTCCATCATCTTCAACATCTACTTCCACCACCACTCCTTCTTCCACCAGCACTTCAACATCTACTTCCACCAGCACTCCATCTTCTAGTAGCACTTCAACATCAACTTCAACCACCACTCCTTCTTCAAACAGCACTCCATCATCTAGTAGCACTTCAACATCTACTTCAACCAGCACTCCATCATCTTCAGCATCTACTTCAAACACCACTCCATCATCTTCAACATCTACTTCCACCACCACTCCTTCTTCCACCAGCACTTCAACATCTACTTCCACCAGCACTCCGTCGTCCAGTAGCACTTCAACATCTACTTCCACTAGCACTCCGTCGTCCAGTATCACTTCAACATCTACTTCCACCAGCACTCCGTCGTCCAGTAGCACTTCAACATCAACTTCAACCACCACTCCTTCTTCAAACATCACTCCATCATCTAGTAGCACTTCAACATATATTTCAACCAGCACTCCATCATCTTCAACATCTACTTCAAACACCACTCCTTCTTCCACCAGCACTTCAACATCTACTTCCACCACCACTCCATCTTCTAGTAGCACTTCCACATCAACTTCAACTACCACTCCTTCTTCAAACAGCACTCCATCATCTAGTAGCACTTCAACATCTACTTCAACCAGCACTCCATCATCTTCAACATCTACTTCAAACACCACTCCATCATCTTCAACATCTACTTCATCCACCACTCCTTCTTCATCCAGCACTCCTTCTTCCAGTAGCACTTCAACATCAAGTTCAGCTCCAGAAGAGTGCATTCCTTGCCAAGCTGTTGTAGATCAAGAGTTCTTCGAGGCTGATGGTTGTAAAAGTTTGGAAATGGTAAATGTCACCTCCTGTCTCGGAAATTGCAGATCTTCCTCGAGGTTATTGAACGGGGTGGTAAGTTGTTTTAAAAGTTTTATTGCAGTTTTTAGAAATTATTATTTTCATAAAGTTCCATTATACGACTTGGTTGCATTTTAATGAATACAATTGAAATGTTGATATCAAAATCTATATATCAAGTAGGGAATGGGGTTTTTCTAAAAAATTAACCGCGTAACTGACAAAATTACGCTTCCATTTTTATAGATTGGAAATTTGAATGTTTTATATGTTATAATTCAACTTTCACATTATTTTACCGTTTCAGCTTGAAAGTAATTGTAGATGTTGTGTCCCAGCTGTTACCAAGCGAGAAGTACAGGTTAGTAATAAATGCTGGAATCAGACAAAGAGTTGTTCAGCACCTTTTATTAAGTTATTGAATAAGCAACTTTAAACAATGTGATCATTTTATTATTAATATTTCAGATTTTTGGCAATTTTTAGACAATTAATTTATTGATATTTTTATTAATATTTCTTTATTTATTGATAACGCTGCAGGTGGTATGCGAAGACGGCAGCCTGAAGCTGACAATGTATGAGGACATAGAGAGCTGCAGTTGTGATGTGTGTCCTCACCACCTCACTAGTGAGCCTCCAACCATGAGACAGAGTTTACTGAGAAGACTCCTCAGATCTGTTTATTAGGAACCTGTCAGGTGTGGTAGAATGGGTACCGAGCGAGGAACTGAAAAAGGAACCGGAAAGGGAACCGGAAAAGGAACTAAACACCTTACGACGATTATTTAATTCTGCTTGATTTTAACATGTTGTGTTGATTTTGCTCATTGTTACAATGATCTGCTTTATTGACCCAAAGTTTTCCGTTTTTTTCGTTTCTGGTTCAAACTGTTCTCTTTTGCAGTGGATCATTACTTTGTTCCAGAATACTTAGGGTCGATAAGGACTGAGGTAAATGCAAATGTTAATAATGAATATGTATGTAGTATGTATGATTATTAATTTCTCTTGTGAAATATCACAGTTTGATGGCATTCATATATACACAAATAAACAGGAACAACATCTTTTTTGTCGATAAAACATCTGTTAAATAATTACAAGTTTAACCAGAAAGAAAAAACAAAGCGAATACCTAAGTTTATTTCATATTTAAATGCAGTTAACACAAAATAATCTCTCAAAGAATATGTTGATGAAGAATTCGCCAGATGACGCACAGAAATTCAGCGCTGTCAAAAAAACAAAACATTGTGCAAAACAAAATAATTAAAATCATGTAGATTATAATTAGAAATTAGAATATCAATACCCGTGTTTATATTGAAACTTTTTTTCTGAAAAAGGCTTTGAGCTAAAAAATAACTTTACTCCTGACCACTTCATATTCATTCTAAAACTGGTGCTTTAGAATGAACGGTTCACAGAAATTCATAACAAGATTATCATTTAAAAGATCTCAAAGGTCACAAACGTTTTATTCCCCATTGTGCCCGACGTCCCGTTTATTGACCCATTTAAGCAGCACCTATCAAACTCCCCTCAAAGTGACAATGATGAACCCCATGTTGAACTATTCGTTATTGGTGTCAGGTCTGTGACCTGTGTCCGGTAGCAATGTGTATACTTCACAGTTCCCATTACCCATATGATCTCATATGTCAAGCACTGCTCCTCTCCGGCCCCTGTGGTTCTTCTCCCCTGCTCCCATTACTTGAATGTGCTGATACGCTGGGTTTGCTTTCATTTCCTCCAACTTCTTCTTCTTATCCACTTCCTGGGAGTAAAGGCAGCTATTGGTTAAAAGGTTTCTTATAAAGTTTCAGAATGCACTACTCTGTTCTTTTCACATATTTATCATAATTTGTATTCCAATTTAAATACGGATAACATAATTCCCAACAGAAAATCTTAAGTAAAAGACTCTAGATCCTACAATATACATGAATCTGTTAAAAAATAGCACAGTACTATACGTATTAAATTTGATTGCAATTAGGGCGTTTTAGGTTCAGCTATACAACATGGAGTCATGACATATGCTTCAAAGATCACGGTATATTGAAGCGCGTTTTAATTGCTTTTAATTACCAGGGCAGACTTGCAGCAAGCTTATTGGAGTTTACATTGCAAGTACAACAGCAACAGATGGATCATCAACATGTTTTAAAAAGTCAATAAAAAATCCAAAATAACCGGTATTTCATATTTTTGTATTTTAATTAGTTCGGTTAAGTTGTCTCTCAAACTACAATAAAACCGCGATCAAATCATAAATGATTGACAGTCTTACTGCTGACAAATATTAAATAACAGACTTATCGAGTAAATTAAATGAACTAAGAAGGATCTGGATCAACCTAAAGATTTAAAGTACATTTGTCTGCACAGTACTGTACCACAGCAAAGTGGAATTAAAAAGGAATTCATTTGGTTGTGCTTTAACTTTAAGTGTAGCAGTAAGCAAGTAAGCTTATAAAATGTAAATAAATTTGCGTTTAGCGATAAATTGCGATAAATCGCTGAGTAAGCGGCTTAATACGGATATAAAGACTGGAGTGGGGTCGTGTTGCAAACGTAATATGACAACGATCGAGCGATCAAAGTCATAAACTGCCTTGTGTAAAAAACATTTGCTACCTCCTCATCAGTTTTAGCGTTTATTATAATAATAGCGATTGCAAATGCAGCTAATAGGCTTCTTGTTGAGACTTTGCTAGCTTTAGTATAATAGCGATTGCAAATGCAGCTAATAGGCTTATTGTTGGGACTTTGCTAGCTTTAGTATAACTAGCAGGATTACACAGGATTACACAGGATTAAAATTAAATTATAGATCCATTATCATGGACCGTCATAATTGTTTACAGAAGTTAATGAAAACAATCATCTTTGCTTGAAGTCAGGGCCAGGGTTATCCTTAAGTCTTAATTATGACTAATTCGCGAGGTTCTCACCAAATTGATAGTAAAATTGTTTAAGTTTCGTGCATTTGAATTACGCTGACGCATATCTTCGGTGAAGCTATTTCGCTCTTCGGAGCAGCAAAGGAAATAAGTGCACGCACAGTTGACAGCATAGGAGCGCCTTTCTTGAAATTGAATATACTGTGGGGTGTTTGGTTGAATATCAAGTGAGCGGTGGCAGTGCATATGGAGGCTCTGGTGATTTTGAGGAATTACAGTTGAGTAAGGAGACAAAATTTCCATGAGATGATCATTGAGATTTGTTTCATTGATATTGCTGGAGTCGGTGATTACATTGCTTATTTCAATGATTGGCATTTGAGAAAGATTTTTGACTAATTTCGACCTCTGTTTTGAATACAAGTCACATATGTAAAGAACATGCGACTCGTCTTCGATGGTCTAGCAAGAACCCGTCTAACTCTTAAGTGGTGTCAAGACTCAAGAGACTAAAATAATTAGTACCTATTTAATTTGCGTTTTTGACACCACTTGGGGGTCCAAATTTTGGGCAATAAAATTCTTATTCCTTGGCCAATTTCTTATTTTTTCATGCTGATTCGACAAGCATAAAAACATTTGACCAAGTCAAAAAAGTTTCAGTTGTATATATTTTACGGTTTTTGCGGAAAGTCGCGTTAAAGTTGATGCCGTGGTGTCAGTAAAATGGCACGGATATATATATATCGTCTCGCTTTATATGTAGTAAGATAGCGATTGCAAATGCAGCTAATAGGCTTATTGTTGGGACTTTGCTAGTTTTAGTATAACTAGCAGGAACCCGTATAACCCTAAAATAGTGTCAAGACTCAAGAGACTAAATAATTATTATCTATTTAATTCGCGTTTTTGACACCACTTGGGGGTTCAAATTTTGGGCTCTAAAACTCCTATTCCTTGGCCAATTTTTTATTTTTTCATGCTGATTTGGAGGCCATTAAAGCATTTGACCCAGTCAAAAAAGTATCAGTTGTATATCTTTTACGGTTTTTGCGGAAAGTCGCGTTAAAGTTGATGCCGTGGTGTCAGTAAAATGGTACGGATAAACACATCCATATATATCGTCTCGCTTTATATATAGTAAGATAGTGATTGCAAATGCAGCTAATAGGCTTATTGTTTGGACTTTGCTAGCTTTAGTATAATAGCGATTGCAAATGCAGCTAATAGGTTTATTGTTGGGACTTTGCTAGTTTTAGTATAATAGCGATTGCAAATGCAGCTAATAGGCTTATTGTTGAGACTTTGCTAGCTTTAGTATGATAGCGATCGCAAATGCAGCTAATAGGCTTATTGTTGAGACTTTGCTAACATACCCCCAACGCAGCGTCAGAAATTACCTTGTTTTCCTCCTAAAACGTAATCTCAGTAAAAGACATACAGACAAAAGATAACTGAAGAAAAAGGCAAAGCAGTGGACCGATGACTAATACTCCGGTTAAAAGTTAGGCTTCGAAATTTTATTTATTATGATAGTATGAGAAAGTATTAGATTGTCTCAAAAGTTGCAACCCACTTCCAAATACTCACCTCACCAAGTTACCAGGGGTACTACACCTCCTGCACCTTACCAACCGAACTTTAACAATATTTTAGGCGCAGATTGCGCTTCCTAGAGCGAATTAACGTTTGAGAGATTGCGGACGAATATAGAACAATTTTAATGAGCAGGGTATATTCTGCGTTCTTTGTGACAATCTAATACCTTCTATCTTATTGTGCTGTAACAATAATACTATAAGAAGCAATCTAGGTCACGTGACAGAAGATGAATCTACCTGATTCTTGACTGGATCGGTCCTGGCTATACAAGCATGTCAGTATGATTCGGTCTTTTCTGTCATCTGTCAACTGTTCATCTGTATGTCCGTCCAATTGTGTTTGTCCGTGGGTGTGCATGTCATATAAATGCTGGTCTGGTAGGTCCACTACCGGTGTTTCAATGGTCGGTATCTCTGTGCTAAGATCCAACTCAATCTCATTATAAAACTCCTTGCTGCTAGTTCTACTACACAGGCCATCTTCAGGACAGAACGACACCTTCAAACAGTCCACGTCAACAGCTCTCTGTCTTCTCAGAGAACAGCTCTTCTTCCCGCCGTTTTGTGGGACTATAACTCTGTTAGAATACTTTTCGGCTGCATAGACAGAAGGGTCTGGGAGCTCTGTGAGTGGATCAACTTCTGGAAAATTAGTCTCTTCAAAGAGGTACGAACCCTCACTCTCAAGTGAGGAGTTGAGCACCTCACTTGAAGAAGGTACGGTATCTTGAGGATTTCCTCCTTCCTTCATGATCTGATAAGCTAACCTGTGTCTCAAATTATTGATGAACTCCTTTTTGCTATCATCATTATCAAGACCATGCGGAATATCCGAGCCATCTAGCAGACCTATTGTGGGCCGTTTTCCCAAATATTTTTTAGGGTGCATTGGGTAGGACCTCTGTTTCTTTTTCTTAAGAACAATCATAGTGTCTGATCTCTTTGTTATGGACCCCTGTGTGCTCAAGTCTCTGCTTTTCCTGGATGACTTGACCTGGAAGACGCCCTTAACTATGTCCCGTTTCTTTGGTGGTTCATTCAGGGCCTTCTCTCTTCTCAGCTCCTCAATCATCTCCTGTCAAGTCGGGTTTAGTGTGAGTGATTGTAACACTTGAATGAAAGGATAAAGCTTCAAACAGATTTCAGTATTATCTAAATTCGAGGGAAAAGAAAACACTTAAATAAATTTGTTAGTTGTCATTGTACTGCTTCTCTTAGTTTGTCAAAATTTCATTTTCAATCATAATTATTAATTAGTCATGCTAATTACTAATTATGTTCGGTAGTCAATAAGACTAGCTCGGTATACCACTAATAAACATTAAACAAAATAACCGTACCTGCATCATATCTTTAGTGAGTTTGTTTGGAGCAGGAAAAGGACTGAGTGTAGCTTTACGGTAGAAACAGTGAACTATTATAAACAGCACCACCGGTATAATCAACAGGAAGTACATGGCTATCACAAAATCAGGCTTTATCTTTATCGTAGTCTGGTGTGTTGAAAAGTTACGAGAAATTCAAGCTCTATATTTTTAGTAGCGTAAGATGAGAAACATGAAATATTTTGTGATCAACAAATGCGATGGGGTAAAAGGAACTTTTCCTCTGTCAAAAAAAGTAAGAAACAGTCGTGAAAATGTTTTCACCTCAGAGTGGTCAGTGTAGTTGACAATTTTAACAACACACGTATACTCTCCAGTGTGCACCTCCATAGTAGGACTGATACTCAGAATACCCACTGCTTTGTGTGTCTCTCCATCCACTTTTATACTGTAATCTGAAACAAGTGGTTATCATAAAACTTTGATTTGACACGTGACATAAATTGCAGCAATGAAACAATTTCCCTTCCGAGGAACTGGAGCTGCCCGACTCTAACTTGAGATGGATCAGCTATAAAACCTACCAACAGTATTTTGATATCTTAATGTGCCTATATTTGGGTGTGGGTTTGTTTTTGGGGACGTCAGAAAATAAGGGTTTTAAAATATTGATGAAATAGCGATTCTTTATGGCTGAGAATAATTCATTGCGGCTGACATTTCTTGACAACATCAGAATTCAGATAAGGCACATCAGATAAGGTTTTAATAATGTACTTGCTGCTAAGAACTTAGGAAGAGTACCTTGTTTGAGACTTTTAATATAATCGTCCTGTATGAAAGCGTCCCCATCATGATAGTCCACGTAGTCCCTTAGTCTAGAGGGATACAACCATGTCACTTCCGGGTAAGGAAGTCCGTCCGGTGTCTTGGAGTGCACTGTACACGTCAACGACACGTTCTCGCCTGGGAGATTACTTGGTTACTAGGTGGTTACTAGGTGGTAACTAGGTGAAGCTAGATGTAACATCTTCTCTCATGAGATTGGACATAACTTGGATCAGAGTTCCTATTATTATAGATTATTATGGTTAAATTTTCGTATATTAATTAAATAGGCTGTCTTACGTACAAACCTTTCTCAAAAGATATCTGGGTTCCATTTGAAGTGTCGCTGTGTATTTTATCATCCTTAGTGTACGAGAATGTGAGCTCCATGTTCACTCCCTCTAGAAAGGGTGAGCATGTTAAAAAGGAGAGCATGTGATAATATTGTGACGAGCTGAACTAGCTGAGGATAAGATTAAGGTTTTAATTTGAGGCATTAACTTTTTCCTCGTTGATAAGATCTACCTATTCTTACCATAATAACATAGGCCTCCAAGGAATTTATCGAATTCTCCATCCACACAGTTAATATTGATGGTACCATCAGTTTTGTAGCCGCTCTTACACTGTACCTGGTGGTTGAATTGTTAAAAGTGCACCAAAATAGCTTATACTTATAGTGATAGTTGCTTAACAATAAAAATCGATGTCTTTAAAACTTTATTTTACAAACATCTCAACAGTGAGGAATTAGACGATGTCAAAAGGTGCACCGTCTGTTCTGTTTAAGAAAAAAAAAAAAACATTTACAACATTTTATCATTATAAACCCCTCCGGGATAGAATAAGATTCTGATAATCCCGGCTCCCGCTAAATAGATTCTGATAATCCCGGCTCCCGCTGTTAGTTTTTTCCCGCTGAATAAATAACCCCGGCACAGCTTTTATAATCCCGTCCCGCTAATTTGGCTCAACAAGATTTGTTTTGTTTTGACATTCCATGAGAATTTCAACCGCGTACTGTCACGTGTTTTGATGACGTGTATCACGTGACTAACTACTACGACGCGCATTGGTAAAAAATGTCACGTGACCTATGGCTTAACGTAAGAACTATAAATACACTCGATCTACGTATCGGTCTAATTGCAGGCGCTGGCAAAACTCCAGCACACTGCTTACATTACTTAAACTCTTACATTAATTGGACCAGTTCCAAAACTTGTCTCGACGGTTACATTTGATTTTGTCCGGTTCGGTTAATTTTGTCGTGTTTGATATAAGCCATGTATTATAGTCGTCTACTTTGATAAACTTCATGACACGATATCATTATTAGCTTTTATCGCTTGCCAGGCTTAACTCGACGCCCCTTATCGATATTCATATTCATTCAACGTTCTGACTGAGGAATAATGTTTAGATATAACGCCAATTTCAAAAGTCATAGTACCTTAGTTGTATTTATTTGGTAGTCCCCAATTCCATTTCATATTTTCCATAATGATCTCATATATATTTAAGAGTAAAATGTCAAATTTGTTGGTCCTAGCACTAACCCGGAGGGGTTTATAACACATAACACCGGCACGCTTAAGTTATATTAAAATAACCCCTCGTGCTAAAGCACGTCGGGGTTATTTTCATAATAATCCCTCGTGCTTCGCACTCGAAATTATTATAAACTTTTCCCGCGCGTCGCGGGAAAAATTGAAATATAATCCCTGCGCATGCCGGGGTTATGTGTGTTATAAACTAAATCTACTAGAACGTACAATTTATATAAAGTTTAATGAGTTCACCTTTACTTCAGTGCCATGTGGCACCTCTTTAGCAGTGTGTAGGGGATCCAGAAAGTACGCAGTAGCATTTGCTGCTGTGATCTCACACGAATTACCTGAACATTAATAAGAGGATCAGTTTAAGAGTTTAGGAGGAAGCGATTACTTTTACTTCAGCAAACAATAATCAGTTATCTGTCTTAGAAATTAATGCAGTGGTTACTCATACTGGTTACTGACAAGTTACATTTTGAAATTTATGGCATGATCATTGCTCTACTGTTTACTTTTCAACAAGTTCTAGATAAACTAGAATTGAATTTGAAAGTGAGAGTGAAAGTACGCACCTGACAAGACGCAAAGAGGCTGCTGCTCGAGGTCCCAGTTCCCATCAACTCCACATGTTCGAGTATCAAGATCCGAGTTCAGGGAGTAATCATCCTCACATACGGACGTTACGGTTTCACCTGGTAAAAACTTTAGTTAGCAGTTCTCAACTAAAATACAGAGCTGGGAAATATTATTTATATTTAACGAGGATTAATCATAAAACTTTATGTTCCTTCGATTGTATCTCGAATTTGGTCGGCTAAAACGTGGATGCAGATTGCAGTCTACGATTAGTAATTACACTGCCTAATTTGTAGCAATCCAAATATATTTTTCGGTGGAATAATGTTTTGCAAATAAACTTCGTACATTATGATTATAGTGAAGAAGTTTACAAAATTATGTTAACACATCAAAGGTTTCAAATAAAAACATTAGGCCGCTCACTAGTCGAACTATTTCAGCTATCTAAATATAGCCGCGCCAATAAATTAGGGTTATTGTACTATCGTAACGTTCTCTATATAAGCATAATAAGAATTTTCTGTGTAAGTGTAACTTACTGGTAAACTTACTTTAACACTAATTACTGAGCTGCCATTTTCCAGACTCAATATTTGTTTTCGTTATTTTGTACCGAATGTGGAGCTTTCAACACTTTCTACAACGCCGACTTATGCGGCGAAATTTGTTTTCTTGGATGGGTTCGCCTCTAGTAGTTCAGCTTTCAATAACTCTGGGTAGGACTGTGAAAACACTTGGTAGGTTATAGAGAGGTTATTCGGTACTTTTTCTGGCTTCCAGATTTACGTTTTTCCAGTTTAAAAGGGAAGCTTGTTGACATTTTAAATTAGGAAATTAGGTAGCTCCAAATGTGTCATACAATGAAAGAGAAACGTCCAGATTTATTTGGAACTGACTCCAAGCATTTTGACCAATCACAACCAAGTATGTACACCACGTGACCGCTTTTTATTCCTCACAAAGTACGAATCTGGACGAGGGTAAACTGTTCTGCCCTGAACTTTGCCAGTAGAGGCCACAATTAAATAGCGAGTATGTAACTGTCTGGCCTGGGTATAACAACTGTTACTGAACAATGCTCCGATACTCTGACAGACTGGTGACGGGAAACAAGAACAGGAAGTTCCTGTTCTTGTCAGGAACTTGCTTTTATTCACAAGAAATACATATTTACATAATATTCTGCTGTCGACGTTGAAAAGAAGAAAAGAGATCGCGAAGCTTTTTTGACAGTGTAAATTTTAGTTCACAAACGTTTAAAAATTATGTCCTGAAAAAGTATACAATTTTATAAGTCTTCTCCGCCAAATCATTATGAAAATTTCATAGAATATACGACAAAATAAAGTCCTAATAAGGATCAACGATGAGGCAATTTATAGCTAAATATAGATTTCACCTGGTTTGAATTGTTTTTGATCACTAGGTGTACAGTGACCAGTATGGTTCAGATTGCAGGTATAATTACAGTGCTTTGTTTCTACACATTGTGGAAGAGGTGGAGTTATAAAACCACCTTCACATCTTAGCAGAGATCCGTCCTGAAGAGGATGTTATCAAGGTTTTATATAGAACTTATAGGTTTTAAAAGAATGAATATTTTTAAAGATAATTCTCGAGTTCCATTGCAGTCAAATAAAGCAGACAAGTAGGTGATAAAATACATTTGGCAGACAACTAAAGCACACCGCCCATTTACAACGCCAGGTTTAAAACGGTAATACAATTGTCACCAATTTATTTATAGATAAGTCTTATAGTAACTCCTGTCAAACGATACAAGATCTAAGTCTGTTATCCCCCGTGTTACTACAGTCTAGCTGGGACCTTACAACAATATTGTTACAAGATAACAATACTGGCCGGTTTCTGATGATGATGCTTAGTTGTAGTAATTACTTACTTACTTATTTACTTATTAGTTGTAGTACTTACTTACTTACTTATTTACTTATTAGTTGTAGTACTTACTTACTTACTTATTTACTTATTAGTTGTAGTACTTACTTACTTACTTATTTACTTATCAGTTGTAGTACTTACTTACTTACTTATTTACTTATTAGTTGTAGTACTTACTTACTTACTTATTTACTTATCAGTTGTAGTACTTACTTACTTACTTATTTACTTATTAGTTGTAGTACTTACTTACTTACTTATTTACTTATCAGTTGTAGTACTTACTTACTTACTTATTTACTTATTAGTTGTAGTACTTACTTACTTACTTATTTACTTATTAGTTGTAGTACTTACTTACTTACTTATTTACTTATTAGTTGTAGTACTTACTTACTTACTTATTTACTTATCAGTTGTAGTACTTACTTACTTACTTATTTACTTATTAGTTGTAGTACTTACTTACTTACTTATTTACTTATTAGTTGTAGTACTTACTTACTTACTTATTTACTTATTAGTTGTAGTACTTACTTACTTACTTATTTACTTATTAGTTGTAGTACTTACTTACTTACTTATTTACTTATTAGTTGTAGTACTTACTTACTTACTTATTTACTTATTAGTTGTAGTACTTACTTACTTACTTATTTACTTATTAGTTGTAGTACTTACTTACTTACTTATTTACTTATTAGTTGTAGTACTTACTTACTTACTTATTTACTTATTAGTTGTAGTACTTACTTACTTACTTATTTACTTATCAGTTGTAGTACTTACTTACTTACTTATTTACTTATTAGTTGTAGTACTTACTTACTTACTTATTTACTTATCAGTTGTAGTACTTACTTACTTACTTATTTACTTATTAGTTGTAGTACTTACTTACTTACTTATTTACTTATTAGTTGTAGTACTTACTTACTTACTTATTTACTTATTAGTTGTAGTACTTACTTACTTACTTATTTACTTATTAGTTGTAGTACTTACTTACTTACTTATTTACTTATTAGTTGTAGTACTTACTTACTTACTTATTTACTTATTAGTTGTAGTACTTACTTACTTACTTATTTACTTATTAGTTGTAGTACTTACTTACTTACTATTTACTTATTAGTTGTAGTACTTACTTACTTACTTATTTACTTATTAGTTGTAGTACTTACTTACTTACCTATTTACTTATTAGTTGTAGTACTTACTTACTTACCTATTTACTTATTAGTTGTAGTACTTACTTACTTACTTATTTACTTATAGTTGTAGTACTTACTTACTTACTTATTTACTTATTAGTTGTAGTACTTACTTACTTACTTATTTACTTATTAGTTGTAGTACTTACTTACTTACTTATTTACTTATTAGTTGTAGTACTTACTTACTTACTTATTTACTTATTAGTTGTAGTACTTACTTACTTACCTATTTACTTATTAGTTGTAGTACTTACTTACTTACTTATTTACTTATTAGTTGTAGTACTTACTTACTTACTTATTTACTTATTAGTTGTAGTACTTACTTACTTACTTATTTACTTATTAGTTGTAGTACTTACTTACTTACTTATTTACTTATTAGTTGTAGTACTTACTTACTTACTTATTTACTTATTAGTTGTAGTACTTACTTACTTACTTATTTACTTATTAGTTGTAGTACTTACTTACTTACTTATTTACTTATTAGTTGTAGTACTTACTTACTTACTTATTTACTTATTAGTTGTAGTACTTACTTACTTACTTATTTACTTATTAGTTGTAGTACTTACTTACTTACTTATTTACTTATTAGTTGTAGTACTTACTTACTTACTTATTTACTTATTAGTTGTAGTACTTACAGGTGGAAGTAATAAGTAGTTGTGATGGCACTGCACCAACAGCGTGGTTCTGAGCAATGAGTCAGTGGTTCTGTATACAGCTCCGTTTTCTATCCTCACATCATTACAAGACACTGGTTCTACAGCGGATAAAGAGGCAGGGTGCAGCAGTAGGATGATGAGTATCAACCTGTCGGGCAAATTGTTAACCAAATGTTAGCGGTCATATTGTTGACCGGTTAAAAATATCAACGGTTAAACGTTACAAGCAAATGATTTGTTTGCTGCGTACGTTCTTATTTAGAGCGATTTTAGCTAAAAATGTTAGCGGCTTTATAACGTTTGCGATCTCATTTAAGCCGCCGACCACATTTAAGCTTTAAAACACAAGGAAATAATTTGTTTGCTGCTTATGACCTTATACTTCCTCAGAACGGTTTCAGCGACCGAGAAACAGTTTTTGAAGGACAAACTATATATCAACCTGATTAACAACACTATAATTGTATAACCTGACAAACAATGAACATGTTTATTAAGGAGCAAACCTGCATGTGGCAGTAGCGTGTGATCTACATGGTCCCATGAAACATTATCTTCAATAAGGGGCTAGAGGCGACTGCTGGTGGCCTGATTTATTGCTAATTCTCTCTGACAAAAGTTAGCAATTTGTTATCTCAGTCTGTTATCTGTTATGAACGTATCTTCGGCTCTTTCTTTCACGTTCTCTTGACAATATCAGATTATTGTTCCATAAGTTTCTAAAGTGATGGAATATAAAATTTTGACATATAATATTAGGCTAAAAAATACTTGATCAAAATATCAAGCGAAAATCATATCTACGCAATAATTCCATTGGTCGCATGTACAGAATTATCAGAAATTTGTATCAGAAACATCGCCACAATGCAACTCATAAACAATGTTCCTATCCAGATATTCTACAACTCCAAACGAGTAATTAAAATCCACAGCTAGCAGGTTCTAGCAGGAATCACAACAAAAGTGTTAGTTTCACAACAAAAACAAAACTTATGAAATTATCAAGAAAAGCGTTGATTACCTACGATACAAAAAAAGCTGAAGTGGAACCTGTCAAGCATTATCTGGCGTCTACAATCTACATGGATCTTTATAGGCCTTCATAGGCCACAAATGTTAAACACTCAAATACAACCGGCCCCTGTAGCCCATCTTAAAACGATGGTTAAACCTCAAACAGTCGCTGTAACTGACCACACAAAAGCAGCACATAAAAGCAGCACGTGGTAACATGTTCCTAGCTGGTTCCTAACGTGGTAACATGTTCCTAGCTGGTTCCTAACGTGGTAACATGTTCCTAGCTGGTTCCTAACGTGGTAACATGTTCCTAGCTGGTTCCTAACGTGGTAACATTTTCCTAGCTAGTTCCTAACGTGGTAACATGTTCCTAGCTGGTTCCTAACGTGGTAACATGTTCCTAGCTGGTTCCTAACGTGGTAACATGTTCCTAGCTGGTTCCTAACGTGGTAACATGTTCCTAGCTGGTTCCTAACGTGGTAAAATGTTCCTAGCTGGTTCCTAACGTGGTAACGTGTTCCTAGCTGGTTCCTAACGTGGTAACATTTTCCTAGCTGGTTCCTAACGTGGTAACATGTTCCTAGCTGGTTCCTAACGTGGTGACATGTTCCTAGCTGGTTCCTAACGTGGTAACATGTTCCTAGCTGGTTCCTAACGTGGTAACATGTTCCTAGCTGGTTCCTAACGTGGTAACATGTTCCAAGCTGGTTCCTAACGTGGTAACATGTTCCTAGCTGATTTCTAACGTGGTAACATGTTCCTAGCTGGTTCCTAACGTGGTAACATTTTCCCAGCGTTAAAACAGAGACGAGTTTGCCACTTTATTGTCTGGAGCAAGCTGTGAACGTCATCGTGTTATGTGCACTCGGTACCACCAGGATTCCTATAATTTACTCGTACTGAAATAGGAATAGTAGTTCTTGTGTTCTTAAGGAATGAGTAATATTCATTAAGATCAGCTTGTCTTTAGGTACGAGCTCTGATACCCAGTTTACTCAGCTTCTCCCAAGGAATCTGTTTGGAAATATTTGACATTTAACTAATATACAAGGTAGTTTTCAACACGATTAGACAGCAAGCACAAAACTAATACCCAAGATGGCATGTTGCAATCCGAACAGCCACTACGTACAGCTGCTGATCAGCTGGTCAGAGAGCCCGGCAAAAGGACCGTCTCTAAAGGTAAGGTATGAGACTGTTGGTATAAGACGGTCAGTACGTGATATTGTAAGAAACAGATATTATATTAACAGATATAACTCCCTCCCATTGGGGAAATAGCAAGTTTCACCATGTGCCAAGGTCCTGTCAACAACTGGTTAGCAATACGTTCGCTTGTTCAAAATGAGGTTGTAAAACACAATAAACCGGACGTTTACCAGGTAAGGGGTGTACCTGACGTTTACCAGGCAGTTCCCGGCAGTTCTCAGTTTCATGCCAACATCATGGTTACCTAATACCTATCCTCCGAACAACAATAGAGATGTAACAGTAATGTAACAGTGATGTAACAGTGATGTAACAATGCTGTAACAATGCTGTAACAGTGCTGAAATAGTGATGTAACACTGCTGTAACAGTGATGTAACACTTCTGTGACACTGCTGTAACAATACTGTTACAATACTGTTACAGCAATTTGGTCAAATTTCACTACCACACTTAGAATTATCTACACATTTTTTACGAAATTCCATGCGAATCGGGTGATAACAAATATACTTGGATTTCTACCGCCTTGCTTATATGTAAATATTATTATTATGATTATTATTTGGAATTCAAAACAAAACAAAGAATTAATATAATATAGGTTATTCATTCTTTAGTGTAGATTATTTTTATTTTTACCATAACATTTTTTTGATATTGTCGAATTATAATATGATAAAATTGATACAATAAATGTTTGTAATATCCTATTGAGGCGCATGCCACCCCATTGCAGGTTTACTACTACTGTAACAATCATTTAATTTTAACACTGTTGTTTAAACACTACTGGGAACTCAGCAACAAACGGAATATACTGTCAAATGGGAGGTTAGGGCTAGTCTAAGGGTACTGAGATAGGATTAGGCTCTTCGACTGAGGCACCTGCTCGGATTTGTGATATCTATTATTTACAGTGTGCAACTTTCCACGTGCCAATACACCGTATGGCCGGCGACTGCATATCACGTGATATTACCACGTGTCACGTGATCTGCCAGCCTTTGGGGCTTCACTTGACACCTGTCTTAAAGTGTGTCCTGTCAATAACTCAATAACAACTGCAAATAACTATCAGAAATCTTTGCAAGAATAAAATACCGCATCTGCACTACTATCATATTATGCTGCACAATACTGTTACAAGCAGATGCTTTACGAAAGGATGCCACCACGACTGGTGTAAGTAAGAGTAATTGTAAGTAATACAAGCAGAATATAAGTAATGCAAAACATGGTCTATAACCAACAAAAGAAGATATGCTCAAAGATACCGCTGGCTTTTTCTAACAAAAGGTTCTATGGCGTAGGCATATCACAACTAATAAATCGGGTATAACCCAAAAGAAACACACCAAAGATGAGGAGTAAAGATGAGGAGTATGTGTCTTCACTCAGATCTATACTCAAAATCTTTATTAAACACTTCACAGGGAACATACAGACCAAGACGCGTGTAAACAGAACTGGTGCTTGCTTTGGTATAATTATATCCATTGTTTTTCCAGATCAAACCTTATTTTAAGCATTGTAGAACTCAAGATCACGTTTTTTTTCTGCCTTTATTCAAATTAAAACACTGTGAAGATATTAATCTTAAATATTATAATCTAATTATGATATTACCTTGCACTTGATAGAATCTACTACGAAGGGCGATATATATATTAGATATATAGCCGAAGAATGACCTGAAACTAAATCGACATCGTCTAAATCAAGATTATATTTAAAAGTTATCACTTTTCCGGATTGAGTATTGTACCACGGTAGCTCTGGTCAACACACTGTTCGTATTGTGATATAAATTAAAGATATTTGTCAGGACTGATTAAGACAAATTAATGGGACAAAAGAAAGTATAGAGAGGACTGAGACACTGCATTGGCTTGAGATCTAGTGGTGTATCACTAAATTATTTATGCAGTGTTAAGGAAGAAACTACCTATCTCCTTGTATCCTATGCTTTATCAAATCTCTACTGCAAGCCTTTACAACAGACAAGAATTGGTAGCAAGGTCAAAAAGAGAAATCATTTTATTTTATTATCAATAGACTTTCACAAAATATCACATAAAAACAAGTGGAAGAAGTCTTGGTCGAGAAATGAAATAAAACCGACAATAAAACCGCCACTGTTAGAGAATGCAGACGCCATTGGACCGGTGATAGTTCCACTGAATAATTCCGATCGTCATGCCGTTCTCATGCTTTGGAATGCAAAGAATTCATGCACAGAGAATGGGAGAATGAGTCTCCATGGTCTAGTCTGATTGATCCAATGAGATATGTTGAGCTTCATAAGGAACTAGTTAAGGACATGAAGAGATCATGAGAACTACTTTGCCTCGTCTGGCACATGGCTGGTATTCAGTGAATTATACAAAACATTGACATGGTGACTTTCGCACTGTGACTGTTCTCAAGTTTAACTGTGAAAGCTTCACAGTTCAATTTGTTAAGGTGGCAAAACTGAAGAAATTTTGCAGTTACATTTGTTGTTTTGGGGCCATTTTTAGCTTATTTGCAAGCATAATTTGTACAAACAATACCTTGTTCTATTTTACTCTAGAATGGAAATACTCAGAAGCGAGAGTGGAAGTTTGTTTTTTGCTCTTAAAAGTTTAAATACGATTATTCAGAATGATCGATGCACGATCTACCTATTAACTTCGGACCTTTACTGATAGTTGAAATTCGACATATGACGTCATCTAGCGTCATCTAGCGTCATCTAGCGTGAAATATCGCCAGATGATGATAGATGACGCTAGATGACGCTAGATGACGCTAGATGACGCCAATTAGCGACATTGTCGCTAAGTGCACGGCACCTTTCGAATGTCGCTATCTAGCGCTATCTAGCGCTATCTAGCGCTATCTAGCGCTATATGACGCTATATGACGCTATATGACGCTAGATGACGCTAGATGACGCTAGATGACGCTAAGCACGCAGCACTGACGCCAGGCGACAGATAGCGCTATTTTCATAAAATTTCCGCCCTTTTTTGCGACATCTAGCGGTATCTAGCGCTATCTAACGCTATATGTCGCAACGACATCTGACGCAGCGCTATCTAGCGCTATCTAGCGCTATCTGGCGCTATCTAGCGGAGAATGACGGTTTGTGACAGTTTACGCTAGATAGCGCTATCTAGCGCTAGATATCGCGGCGACAGCTAGCGCTAGATAGCGCTATCTAGCGTAAACTGTCACAAACCGACATTCTCCGCTAGATAACGCTTGTTAGCGCTAGATAGCGCTATCTAGCGCTATCTAGCGGAGAATATCGGTTTGTGACAGTTAACGCTAGATAGCGCTAGATAGCGCTATCTAGCGCTAGATATCGCGGCGACAGCTATAGCTATGGCTATAGTTGTTAAACGTTAAATATCTAACGTTGGTTATAAGTTTTATTTTTAACGTTGCAAAACGTTTATTATTTGACGTCAGATCAAGGTTACCTTATTAATATTAACTATAAGCAG